ATATTCTTAATTTAATAATTTTATTAATAACAAATTTTAACAAATGACCTCAAAAGTTAAAAAATTAAAATTTAGGTGGTGCTATAGTTATGCACAAAATTTATTCTATTTAAGCTTTTAAGTTTGTATGGAAAAGAAACGCTTTAAAAACCAATAAAAAAGCATTTTACTAAAAAGGGCGACTTATAATGTAGTTCAAAATAATCCTTCTTTACAATTTTAACTGTACCAAACTGAGTAAAGCTCATTTATTACTACAAAGAAAACAACTAAAGAGCTTATTTTTTCCCTATTCAACTTCTATAGTGTATAAAATTCTTATGGTGAAACTTTTTAATCTTCCCAGTTAATTGTTAGAGACGATTTAAAATTCAGCAAACGTAAAGCGTTAATTAATTTCGTATTCCAGTCCATTTAATAAGTCACTTCTCCTTTTCGTTAATTATAAATAACCCTTTCTTCGCGTAGAATTTTTCCTCCCGTCGCGAAACACAAAACATTTCATTTTGCCTAATGGTTTGTTTTATGCTCTATTTCAGGTGCAGAGGATCCCTCCTCTGGGGGATGGGGCGCCGCTTCACTGGAAGTTTTCAGATAACCAGACGGTGCTCTGCGACCAGGGCTACGGCTCGGAACGCTCCCCCGAGGAGGAATATCCGCCGCCCTTGCCCGACCATGACAGTCAGTGTCACCACCACCTGGAACCCCACGCTTGCTACCCTTTCATCACACCAGGTACGTGTTTCCGAAAGCCAATAAAGAATCCTCGTAAAACAACATGAAATATTTGGATGCGTTCCGATCGATTGGCCGAATCGTTTTTTTTTTTTTTTTTTTCAATTTATTATAGATGTGCGCACCTGTGGATACTCCATTGTGGAGGCTGAGAGCACTTGTGCCTTAAATTAACTCCAATAATAGGAAACAGTTACCAGTTATTACGTGCTAGAAATTCAATGAGCTTTAAGAGGAATTAAATAGCGGCCAGGGTTTTACTGAAATTGCAATATTTCGTTTCCTGAAACTGTTCACCCTTTTCAGATATGTGACACTTTCGAAAAATGCAAATAAAGATAGAACTTGAATTTACTAATCTTCTTTAATTCGATTGTTTGTGCAATTTCAAAGATTAATCATAGGACTAATTACGTGGAGTTTTAGTCTATAAACAAAACTTAAAAAATCGCAAATTCGACCTAATTGGAGATAAGTCCTGTTGGGATTACACATATTTTCAATTATTCGTGGTCAGAAGGTGTTGACAGTCAAAATATTCGCTTGAATTTGTTGTTGCTAGAATATGAAAATAAATATCTGCTATTTTATTGGTTAATATTCCAAAAAAGAGAGGTGAATTGAATAGTCAACGAGAATCTCGCAAATTTTCTAAGAATTTTTGAGTCATTTTTTGGGGTTTTTAGAAATCGGAAATATTTCTTTTAAAAATTGAGTTTTACATACAAATATAATGAAATAAAAAGCATTCAACGTATTTTTAAAGATTTACAGAAATTCTTTAATAATAGTAATTCTAAATACGAGACGTTTTTACCCATCGTCAAAATTCCATAAAAGCTTTGAAGTTTTCATAATTTCTATTAAACTAATTACCTTTTACGTAATTACTTTGTAAAAACTGTTTAAAATTCCATGTAATTTCTAAATTTCTAAGTATTTTTATATTCATTAGGATTTCTTTATATTTTTTTGAAAATTTTAAGAAATTCCAGGTATTTTCAACGATTTTAAAAAATAGTAATTTTAAAAATTGTTAAAATTTGTCTTAGAATTTTGTATTTTCAAGCTCAGTAACACGAGAAACTTTTACAATTCTCAAAATTTCTATATTTTATAATACTGGTTTCTAGAAATATCTTTTGACTATTAAAAAATACTGACAATACCTTTCAGAAATTTTTTACGAATTTCCAAGATTTCTACGATGTTTTTAAGATTTTTCTAATTTTCAAAAAAATAAATCAATGAATAAAGTATAAACTGTTGACTGTAATTGTCAACAAGAATTTTGCAAATTTCTAAGAATTTTCTAGTAATTTTTTTAGGTTTTTAAGAAGTCCTCGAAAATATTTCATTTAAAAATTGAGGTTTGCATACGGATATAATGAATTAAAAGAATTCAAGGTATTTTCAAAATTTTACAGAAGTTTTTGTAATTTGTTAGAGTATTAAACTAAATTTATCAGTAAATAACTTTTACATAATTTGTAAACACTATTTAAAACTAGGTAATACCTACTTTTTTAGAAAATAAATAATCTCATTTTTCATAGGATATTTGTTGTTCTTTCGAAAAACAAAAACACTCGATTTTTTGAAATATGTTAGTAGATATTGATACAGTTGAATAAAGTTGAAAAAAATTGTCAAACTTTTTTGTTTAAAAAAAGATTCGTTTAGTTCAGTAATTTCAGAATATTTTTTCTTTGTTTTTCACTGTTTTCAACACAGAAGCTATTGTGCTTTTTTACATAATTCAACTATCATATCATGTAATTAAATTCTCTTCCAACTAATTAGTTTAATTAGCAAGGCTTTTGTCACAAAAAACAATGAAAAACAAAATCACAGAATATTCAGGGTGTTGAAAAAAGATTGTAAAATATTTCAGGAGGTAATGGTATGGGCCAAAACAAAAAAAGTTGTAATAAACATGGGCCTGCAAAGTAACGGCTTCGAAGATATCGAAAATTATTCGTTTTTTGAAACATTTATCTGTTCAAACAAAAAGAGAAGCTTCTGGAGAAAATTCTAAAAATTTTCACATTCGATATCTCCAAAACTGTTACTTTGCGGGTTCATGTTTATTAAAACCTTTTCCTTTATTTTGGTCATTACTATTACCTTCTTAAATATTTTTTAACACCCTGTATAAAATGAAATTTTTATGACTTTATTTACTATCAAAATTTTGCATGTCAAATCTCTTTCAAGCTAGAAAAAAAATGTTTAGGCCGGAAAATCCTTGTTATCTCTATCTAATTGTTTCAAAATATTAAAATTATTCTCATTTTATGTAACAAAATGATAAATATAGACGTTTGTATAAACAAATTCTTCAATGCTGTATAAGCATAATATGGCATTCATTTATTTATTTGGGAACGGTTTTACATATTTGCTCATTTGTGTAGCATCCAATTAAATCTCTATTACATTAATTTATTTAATTATGTCCCATTATTAGCCTTTCATGCGAAAATTTGTTGTGATCAAAATAACAAGCCTGTTAATGATATTAATTGATGTTTACTTAATATACGAGTAAGTGTATAAATCGTACCCTAAAGAAACTGTTTCCAAACTTAGATTAAGGCTAAATTCTTTTTTGAACTACTCAATGTTTGAAACATTTTTAGGCAAAACTCTTGTTTCTTCTTTCTTGTCTCAGGAACAATAATTTTTTTAAGGTTAAATTCAATCGATAATTTCTGCCAGGACAGTTTCCTTATTCTTATACAGAATCCTGGTTATTGGGTATACAGAAATGTGAACAATGAGGTAAAATGTATCTTTAGATGTTGTTTATATTTCGAATGACTGCTGGCAAATTGGATTACCTTTTCCCGGTTTCCCACATCACTCCAATGTAACCAGCAGCACTTGACCACATTCACTCTTTCGTGAAATGAGAGAGGCCATCGGTCCCCATTTGTACACCTCTCTTCCTATGTGGGGTTTTTACTTAACCCCTGTAAAACTCTCATTAACACTGTACTCGAGGCAGAATCGGACTCAATCTTGATAACAAAACATAAAGCCTTTAGTTGGAAGCGGAAATGGCGTCACCATTTGTAAGCCTCTTAGGGAAAATGTCGTGTTCTGTAAAGGATTCCACACTTGAACGAAAATTTTATATTGCTGTTATGGCACACAATTCTGCGGGTCGTGATTTGCATATTTAGTCTTGAGACAGTTTAAAAAGTGGAGCTAGAACCTGTCAGCTTATTTCGGTGAAAAATGACAGTTTAATTAGGTCTCGAGTTGGGCGTTTCCTCAACTCCAAGTCGGATTTCCATCTGACCGTAGTCTTACACAGGCCATAAATGAATAAGTGGGCTCGAAGCGGTAATTTTTCTTTTCCTCTACATATAGCATGTAAAACTACTGTTCCAGCTTGGGTTTCTTCCCTTGAGGGCAGTTACGAAGTACTGCGTCTCACCATTAGCATCATTTCGTATGCCCTAAAGACGAATTTTCCAGAATTCACTTAAATGCGAGTCGCAGAAACGATCTTGTAAAAATGAAACATCACACTTCGAAGACAAACGTTTTTTTTTTCGTCGATACGCATAATTCGTCGAAGAAGCTTGCATTGTTGGCACAACTGATAAATGTGTTTACTCTCAACCATGAGGTTCCCAGACTCGTAGGATTTCTACTTTACATTTATCATATCGAATTTAACACTACACTACGGAAATCGTGCTTGACAATAAAATACCAACGTCGTGTTGGAAAACATGAAAGTAGATGTGCAGGCACAAAAACTGTATTGTTTTAGACCTATCTCGTTCAGGAACGAAATATTACACTTTTACACAAATTAATGAATTTAGAAGTGTCTCTCAGTGACAAATTTACTAAATTCGAACTATTTCACTAAAACAAAATATAAAATTGCTACAATAAAACAAAAAATAGGTCATAATGCGTTATTTTTGCCAATTTTGATAAATTTGGAGTGTTTTTCACCAAGAAACTCAAAATTTTAAAGATTTTGCCAACTCACGGCAAAAAATTACAAAACTGATATAGAATGCGTTATTTTCTATTTGACGAGAGTTTTTCACCAAAAAAGTATCATCGGTAAATTTTATCAAAACAAGGCAAAAATTTGACCAAACATAAGGTTTTTATGTATAACATAACGTTTTTACTTAGAAACTCCTGAACTTAAAAGATTTTGCCAAAACAATGTAAAAAAAATGCAAAAATAGATCAAAACTGTCTATTTTTCTTGAATGTAGAAGTATTTTTTAAAAGGAAAAAAAATGTCAAACGGAGTGAAAATTGTATAGTTAGACTTGAAAATGCGTTTCAATTGCATCGAGAAATGAACAAAATTTAAACTATTTTATAAAAACAGAATAGAAAATTGCAAAATTGGATTAAAAAAGTGTTATTTTTATGAATTGAAGGAATTGCTGAAGCAGTGAAAGAAA